ATAGATTATTTATTTATTTATTTATTTAAAGTTTTTATATGCCGTCCCCTTGCTATACAGCCTCGGGACAGCTCACAGAAATTCGCACCCAAAACAAGGACCTACTGCCCAGGTGTGAACCACAGGAGAGACTAGGATTACTTAAAGCATGATTTTATCTATGTTGAAACTCTAAAGCACCCTACAACGTCCAGTGTGACCCGGCTGGAATGGTGGCCAGGGAGGTGCCGGCCTCTTTTCTGTCTAAACAGCCATAAGATTCTACTCTGTTTTGTTGGCTTATGAGTGAAGGGTTGGCACTCAGTATCAGCTGCCACATGCAAAAGAGCAGGGGAAGCTGGAAGAGGCAAAGAGAACATTTAGGCCTGCTCTAGGCAGACTACCGACTGACACCAACTGCCCCATAAGAAGCAATATCAGTGCTGGCCCCCCACTGAAGTGGAGCTGGTTGTATTGTTCCATGTCAATTTTTGAGTATGTGGCTCTTGTATCTGTTGTATTTTATAAATCCACTTGTATGCCACTTTTTTGGCTTCGGTTATAAAGTGGGATATAAATCTTCTGAATAAATAATGGCAGAAATGTGGTTCAAGCCCCAACATTTCCAAGCACAGCTGGGAAAGGGGCTGCTGTTTGACACTCCAGAGGCACTGCCAGTCAGTGCAAACAATATTGGATTAGATGTACAATTAGACTGAATGGTATAAGGCAGCTTGCTCTATCCTGGCAGCTTGATGCTGCTTTGCTTCTGCTAATCCACAAATATTTTCCCTTCCCAACCTGCATGATCATTGAGATCCTCAGACAGCAGGCCGTGGTGGTTCCACATGCACCTGTGGCCTGATGGGGGTCCACTCAAAGAAGAACCTTCCGTGTAGCAGCTCCGTTCCTGTGGAACTCCCTGCCTCTGGAGGCCAGGCAGTCACCAGGTTGGTATTGTCTTCTGCTGTTTTGGGAAGGCTTTCTGATTTATCTAGGCACAGTTTTATTGATACAATTTCAGTGACCTTGGTTTTTAACACAGTGTTTTATCCTTTATTGCTCACTGTTCCACAATCTCTACACTAGATTTTAAAAGCAGTATACATATATTGTAAATAAACAAGTTTGAGGTGCTCCTAAAGCACAGAGAGATGAACAGGAAGTTTTAAAAATTCAGTTAGCAAACCTAAGATAACAATCGTGTAGTCGATGATTCAAAAATTATAATGGTATCAAGAGGAATGTATTTGGCAGTCAGAAGAGCTAGAAGAGATAACCACCCCAAAGTTACTGAAGACTGTCAATGTTTTCAACTGTATCTAGATTATTTAAGCTGACTACCAAGAGGTTGCTCAGAAAGATGGAAGAAAGCATGTCTCCACAAAACTCAAAATGAATTTATGGAGTTGCCACATATGAGATGAGCAATAGTTTAGGCCCAAAGCAGTAGAGTTTTAAAATATCCCTCTTATAAAGAAATAAACTCCCCACAAGTAGAAAACTACCTAGAACAATTTTCCTTGGTGTGCTAGATTTTTTACTTGCAGGATTTAAAGTTGGGATAAAATGCAATGGAATTCTATAGGCATTGTATTCCCCAGCTGCAGCCTGAAGTGGTGCATTTGACAGCATGTGAAAAATGGGCCTTTAGAGTGTTGCATATTTTAAAGATAGATTAGACAAGCTCATGAAGCTCTTTTCCCTTGTTTTAGACGTTTTGATTTTATTGTTCTAACTGACACAAGCCAGTCTGAGAACTGATGGTTGAAGTACAATATACAATCCTGTATCATCTTGCCGGAGAACGAGCCCTATCAATGGGATTTATTTTTGAGATGTGCACAAGACTGTGCTATTGAGCCTATTTGGGGGGCAGGGGCTGGTACATATTTTTCCAGAGACAGTTACATGAAATTATTCTTTGGGACCCATTTTACTGCATGTTGAAAAGCAATTTCTTTCTTTTAGAAGCAAACATTAAACATTCCTATGCATTAATCTTGAATTTCTCAGAATGCCTTCATTGAATAGACATCTGAAGTGTGAACTTCACACAGTGCGCTCTGCCTTCCCTTCCAGGAAGTCTGCCGCTTTTTTTGTTGAACTCTGATTATCACTCTCTGATGAGCTGTCAGCCCCATTATCCTGGTGCCACATGGAAGAAGTCTTTGCTCCCTTCAGCATTTATGTTATAATGGTAGCTTCAAAGCTGTTATTTCACATTCAGTCCCACTTTTCAGATTTTTATGCTTGCTTTGCAAATGAGATTCAGAGAACCATTTGCAGAATGAACCAATCTCTGAGAGCTGCCAATTTTTCAGCAGGCTATTGGTAGCTCTGCCTTTGTCAGATTTCGGACAGAGGAAGCAGTCTCCTACCAAGTCAGACACCCACTACAGTTCCTACCATCTCCAACTAGCTGGGGCTGATGAGAGTTGTTGAAAACATCCAGAAGTTTCCAAGCTTGCAGGTAGGAAAATCTTTCTCTTTTGATTTTCTGCTTCCTATGAAGCTCTTAAGAGACATAGAAGCCCGGCAGCTAAAGGGGGAAACGGGGTGTATGGATTACTTCCACAATTCAAAATCCTTGGTTCACTGACTGCCGATAGACAGGACCCTGAAGCTAAGAACTGAGATCCATCAGTTTTAAATTGTCAGAAACTGCTCACGGCGAGCCTTCCCTGACTTTAGTAGACCAAGAGGAACATTTGTAGTGAAAACAGCTTATACAGTATTTGCCGTGGTCCAAAGGCACATAATATTGTGATGTTGCTGAAACTGCCTTCTCAACCCAAGGCATTCCTTGCATGCCCACCATCACTCACTGACAGAACACTGAAGGCCCTTCACACAGAGTCCTCTTTCTCCAAGGCCTCCCGTGAATTCTCCATCTATTTTCACAACTTTGAGCAAGATAAGTCTGATATCTTCCTGGATGCCACCAAAACTAGCTACAGAAGCACAATGTATTTTCACAATTCTGCTCCACAGGACAGCACTACCTGGTGTTTTGTAGTTGAATGTCAGCTTATTAGAAAGGCATGGAGGAAAACCCTAGTTGTGGAGAGGAATAATGTGAAAGACACTCTAATCTTCTTGCAAAGAAAATGGAAGATGCAGCCTTGGCACAGGGTTGACTTATATGCTTCCTCCCAAAAAGCTTTAGTCTAGTCAGCATCTGAATGGGTACCTTACGTATGCTGGCAGGGTACCATGATGTAAGGAAGGTTGTTTTTGCTGTAACGAACAGCAGTAAAATATTTGCACGTATTAGGAGGAAGAACTAAAAAAAATCTAATTTTCTAGGCGATGATTCAAAGCAAAATACCTCCATGAAGTAGTTTGAGAGGAGGCTTTCGCAGCACCAGCGCCCTGCCTCCAGTCACAGAATTTAACAGAGGTGTTGGACAATATCTTCCACACATGGTTCTCCTGTGTTTTCCTACTAGGTCATACCTTTTTTAAGCTCAGAAAATCTGTTAAGAAAAAAACTCAGTACTTGTGCACAATGGTTTTAGATTGGTAGCATTAAGAACGATCTGTTTGGAACCAGCCTTAAGATTCGTATTTTCACACCTTGATGGCCTTGGGGATGGGAAGACATGAGTCATGCCAGATCAGATTCGGGTGTCCATTCAGTCCTGCAATCTGTCCACAAAGTGGCTACCCAGCTGCCACAAGCACAGCACCCTTATGCCCACCCAGTTCCCCAGCAATGAGGGATTACGATCTCTGACATCAGATTGTAAGCCATCCTGGGGCGATTTTCATATAGGATAGGGTAAAAACATTTAAATAAATAAAACAACGTAACCTCTTCAGGGCTAGTACCCTGAAGCTACTGGTAGCCTCCTCCTCTGTCCCCCTTTAAGCTCTCCAAATTGGTGGCCATCACTATATTTTCTGGAATGATTTCTATAATTTAACTCTGTGTCGTGTGAAATCTTTCCTTTTAGCTGGCTTGAATCTCCCACCAATCAGCTTCACGAGATTAACCCAAGTATTATGGGAGAGGGAGAAAATTCTCCCACTTTCTCCTCATCATGCATTATTTTAAATACTTCCACAATCTCAGCTCTTATACCCTTTCTTCATAGAGGAGTTACTTCAACCCCTTGATCATGTTAGTTGCTGTTTTCTGCCCCTTTTCCAGTTCTATAATATACTTTTTTATTTTGGTGACCAGAACTATATACAGTATCCTAAGTGTGGTTGCACCATAGATTTGTATGAGGGGAAGATTTTCTTGGCAGTGTCATTTTCAATTCTTTTCTCAATGATGCCTTACATGCAGTTTGCTTTTTCACGGTGGCCGCAGGCTGGTTCAACATCTTCATCAAGCTGTTGACAACAACCCCAAGATCTCTTTCTCGGTCAGTCACTGCTTCCACAGGTCCCATCCGTTTATTCTTGAAGTGGGATTTTTTTTGCTTCAACGTGCATGAGTTTGCATGTTACGTTATTCTGAGGCTCCATTGTATCCCGTGATGGAGATTTCAAGTTGGTATCTTAGCCTGTTTGCCAATCTTTGGACATTTTGGACAGTCAGACTTCCACTCATGGGCCACTTCAGTGGCTTTCCATCCCTATCTGGATGAGGAACTTCACATACAAATACATTGAGCATTTTGTTCCTGGCTTGATCCTATGGCTGGAATTGCATATATGGTTGCTTCCAATTCAATCCTGCTTCAACTGGATTCACGGAATTGAATTGGGCAAGACTAGTGTTGAAAGCAACCCACGATCTTGGTCAGAAGGATAGTGGCAGTCTGTGCAAAGCACTGCATTTATTGCCCACTGGATTAATTTAGTGCTGTTGCTGATTACCTTGCCATAGGGGTGGCCCAGGCAGCCACATGTGTGTAGCTGGATCAGTACACAACAATTCTGTACCCACAAGCAAAGCATTAAGATATGCACCCAACCATAAAACAAACCCTTTTCTTTCAAAGGCACCCCTTTCCTTCATTCCACCCAACTCAACATCATTTAAATAAAAGACAATATCACAGTTGGTCTTTTTAAAAACAGGTTCTAATTAAACACTTTCCCCTCTCCCACGCAGATTGTATATATTAAACACATGAATTCTCTGCACAACAATGAAAACCTATTCTCATCACACAAGCAGAAGTCGCAGAGTGGGGAGAAGGGAAGAGGTCTCTAGTACTGTTCATTTTTTAACTTTTCAGTTTCAGGTCCAATGGCTTTAGAAAGTGTGGCAATGGCAGATCATCCAGCGCCTCTGGGAACTGATCTGGTGCAATGGTCCTGATTAAGACTTGCATGGATCGAACAAAGAGGGAGGCCGGAGCTAAGCCGGCCAGCCACTGGAACCTAGTTTTACCTAGAAGGTCCTGCCACTGCTGCTGGTCATCCAGCAGCTGCTGTTTCATGGCGAAATGGAAGCCCGGAGGCATGAAAAGGAAGAGGGAGTCCAGGAGGAGCAGCCTGCTGCGCACATTGGATGCTGGGCTCTCCCAGATCTGTTGGAGCAGCAGGTCCAGAGGGGTGTTTCCGGCACAGTCACTCAGGCAAGGTGAGGCGCCGTTGCCCAGCAGCAAAAGCAGGCATTCGGGCCTTGACAGTTCACAGGCCACGTGGAGGGCTGTCTTGCCACCTTCTACCCGGCTGCACCCTCTGCGGTCCAGATAGGCAGCTCGGTCACACACGGGGAAGTCTCTGATGGCCTTCAGGATCTCCAAGAGGATGTGGATGCGGTTGTACCGGACGGCCATGGCCAGGTGAGGCGCTGACGAATGGCAGCAGCTGAAGTGCAGGCTCGGGATAGCCAGGGCACTCTGTGGAAATTTGCTCAGGAGGTAACGGGTATAAGGTTGGTGGTTGTGCACCAGCGCGTAGAGGAGGGCCTCAGAAGGGGAGTAGGTGCTGACCTTGCCCCCTTCCTGCCAGTGGAAGGCCTCCATGCGCCTCATGTCCTCCAGGAGCCACACGGGCAGCTGGTCCCTCACAGCTTGATAGAAGGCGAAGGAGGATTTCTTGCATTGCTTCTGCGACTGGGAGCTGTGGGCACTGTAGCCGTTCAGCCACTTGATGTTCCAGGGCATTGCTGGGCTTGGGATTTCACGGAGGACTGCTTCCCGCTAGGCTACAAGCCCCTTCTTCATGAAGACCCGGGAGCGATGGGAAACCTTTAAAAAGAAAACAACCATTCTCAGCAGCAAGAACGCCAGAAGCCCATTAGCTGGCTGCTCAGACATTCCTCTTCACCCAAGCACTACACTGCTCAGTCCCTAAGGAGAGCCAGACTTTGAGCATGAGCAACCAATCAAACATTAAACAAGAACTAGAAGCAGTGCTGATTTAATGCCAAATGCTGAAAGGCCAAACCTGCGCACCTGTTTGCTACTTCTGCCATTTTTGTACTTGAAGACTTCTAGAGAATGAAAAAGATAGCATATTTTTGTTTAACTTTTGTTGGTCCTAGCAAAGTGATTGCCCAGCTGTGGATCTTGGTTTTTCCCCCCTGTCATAGAGTAGCATGACTCATTTTTTAAAAAAAACTATAATAAGAGTGTTGGACTGAGGACCTGGGAGATCCAATTTCTAGTCCTCACGCAGCCATGAAGCTCACCGGATGGCACTGGGCCCGTAACTCACTCTTGCCCCAACCTACCTCACAGGGGTGTTGTTAGAATGTAAGCCTGGAGTTCCTCACAAGAGGAAAGGCAGGATATAAATCCAGTGTAACAGGAACCCTCTATGAAAGAAATTAGGAGAGTAAGTACCCGGAGGAGGGCTTTCTCTGCGGTGGCGCCCAACCTATGGAATTCACTCCCCAAAGAGGTCCGCCTGGCACCGTCGTTACTGGTTTTTCGGCGCCAGGTAAAGACCTTTTTATTTAAACATCATTTCAATTGTTAAAACATATGATCTGGCCTGGGCAACTTCTTCTTCCTTCTCTTTCTCCTCCTATATTTTTATTTTATACTGATAATTTTAATTTTGTATTGGTAAATCAATGTATTTTTTGTATTGTTATATTTAATGGTAATTTATGATGTACTATTGTATTTCAATGTATTTTATCATGTTGTAAGCCGCCCCGAGGTTTCGGCAAGGGGCGGCATAGAAATGTTGTTATAATAATAATAATAATAATAACAACAACAACAACAACAACAACAACAACAACAACATGGTTAAGAACCATGGATTTGGGGTCAATATTAAATTCAGCAAAGCAGAAATCTGTCTGGCCCCCAGCTGCAAGCAGCAGTGCGTCTTCCTCCCCAAATGGTCTTGCGGGTTGATGGATTTGCCAGGCGGCTGATCCAGCAATGCCATAGCTTTGCAAGGGTGTTCGCCTCTCCATACTCCTTCCGCTCATCTCAGGGGAAGATCAAACCACATGAGTATCTTTGACCCTTCCCTTTCTGAACATTTTTTTCTGAGATTGCTGTTACGCAAAACAAACAAATCAAGACTGCCCGCCCCCAGTCAAGTGACTTGTGACTATGAATTCATTCTGGCATAAATCTCCCTGGATGCAGTTCTACCTGGACTATATATCCCACTTCATCAGATCTGTAGGTTATGAAGGCTTTCAGGTATATATGGGGGCAAAGAGAATTGTGAACAGTAACCAGATGGGAATTAAATGAATAAGATACTGTTTACAATTTTCTCCCACTCTGTAGGTATTGCGTATAACCTCAAATGCCCGATAACACTCTGTGCCCAGAAGTGGGCATTCGTGGTGTTAAGGGCTGCTTCAACAGGGCTGGGCTCCTGCATCTCTCACTTGGGAGCCCCAAATCCGTGGGAGCCACCCTGCTATGCACAAGCACGTGCTGAATAAAAGTACTATGGAGCAGACAATATCTGTTGTATTCAATCGCCCTGAATTAGTTGGCCTTTCCAGCTGCCCCCTTCTTTCAACCTTTCTGCCTGAATCCCCCCTCTAAAGCCCAGTAACCTGTTTTCCACTGTCCATACATCCATTTTACAAACAGGGTGTCCTAAGGAGAAGAGCCTTTTAAATACACACAGTGCCTTCAGAGAATATGTACATTAGCACATACGAATTAGTGCTTTTTGGTGGTTCCTATGGGCCTGAGCCCTGAATTTAAGCCCCAAAGTGTACTATGTAGTTCACAAAAGCTTATGCCAAAATAAGTTCTTGTTCTTTCAGGTACTACAAGGCTTGTCATTGTTTTTAATGTAAGGGATGTAACCCAGCTGCCTTCTTGTATCTGCTCAGCAACTCGTCTTCTTTACACAAGCCAAAGAGTTACAGGATGCTAGTATCTTGACTCAAGAAGGTTGGTTATGAAACATGGACGAACTCTTCACCTCGGTCGGAAAAAACTTGCTGTTTCCTTCCTAAATGCCAGGCCAAGGGCTGTGAAGAGCTGCCACAGTGAATCAGTGGGCAGGTCTGTCTGTGTTCACATCGCCACTGTCGGGTCACATCACCAAGCTGAGCAGATCCTCGCAAAACACTGCCTGCAGCGAGGCAGTTATGCGGCTGGCCTTTCTTGGGCACTCACCAGGCTCATGGTGTGCACTAAGTTTTCTCACTGCCCCAATTTAGTTGCATTCCTCAGCTGGGACAGAGGTGATCCAAGTGCTGAGCGGGTCCCTCTTGATTATCACAGCATGGCCAAATCCCGCACAGCTGACCTCTGCTGCGTTCACTCAGTCTCCACTTCGCATATGTCAGCTGAGGCTTTAAATGACCCTGGCTATTATGGCTGTTTTGCAATATTTCAGGCCAAAGCTGGAGCAGCCTTCCCAAATCCCTCTTCCTTCCTGCAGTCAACCCAGCCCCTAACATCTCCAAGCTTCTCCCCACCCACATCCTTGCCTGACCTTTCATCCAACACCCTCACCACCATCCCTTCTCTCCCAGCCACCCACAGTTCTCAACCTCCTCGCCTCCAGAGTCACTGAGGGGGAGACAAATAATCCCCTTGTTGGAAAAGCCTTTCTTGTCCCGTTACAGGCGGTAAACAGAAACGCCATTCCCGATTCCGGCACTGTCCGGGGGAAGGAGCTTGAGAGCATGCGGGGCTTTGGTGCGCGGCCCCGCTCCGCCCGGGGACAGTCGCCCGCCCGCCCTTGTCTGGGGTCCCGAATCTGGGGCGGGCGGCTTCCAGCCCGCTCCTCCCCCGCCGCCTTCCCTTCCTTCTCCTCGCCCAGCGCTCCCTTGTCCTTGTCGCCCTTCCTCACTCGCCCCGAGCCTCACGTGTCCCCACCCCACCCGTCCCCTCCCACCCACCGCTGGCCTTTAAGAAGAACGGGGTGGCCCGACCGGGGGCTGGAAGGGCGGCGGAGCCGGGAGACCCCGGTGGGAACGAAGCCGCGCGGAGAAGGCAGGCAGGCAGGGCCAGGGGAGCGCGGAAGGAGGCGCCCGCTTACCTCTCCGCGCCGCGCGCGAGGCGGCCTGGAGCGACCGGGCTGCACGGCGGCGCCTCCTCCCGCGGCTGCTCGTCGCCGGCTCCGGCTGCTGCGGCAATGAATGAGCCGGCGCCGCCTCCCGCCGCCACGCGCGCCCCGGAGCGAGTCCGCCTGCAGCGGCGGCGCCGCCTCCTCTGGCTCCCGCGCGCCGCCGCCTGCGCTCGCCGCCCTCGGCGCGGGGAAGAGAGGGCGGGCGGGCGGGCGGGCGGGCGAGCGGTGCTGCGCCGGCGCTGCGGGGCGGGGAGCCGACAGGCGCGAGAGCAGGCGGCGCGGCGCGGCAACCAAACCTCGGCGGCCTCCGCTAGGCTCTTTTATCCCCTCCCGCGGCTGCCGGGTGAAGGTCGGTCAGGACCGGGGAACTGTCCAGCGCGCCGCGATTGGCCTCTCCCGCTCCCCCCGCGGCCTCCCATTGGCTGCGCCCTGGGCCGGGGCCGGTGGAGGATTGTTTGCGTCAGCGGGAGGCGAACTTCCAAGAAAGTTGCCCGGGCCGCTCGGGCGCGGGCGCGCGCTTCCCCGTCCCAAGGGAAAATGTGGGGGGGGGGCCGGAGGAGGAAGAGGTGAGTGCGGGGTTCGCTCCCTCCGGGGGGCCGCTCCTTCTAGACCCCGTTTGCACTTCTTGGGCTCGCGCGAATGCCTGCAAGGATCAATGGAGAAGCTTCTCGATCGGCCAGCGCAGTCGCCCCGGCGAGAAGGCTTTCGCAGCCTGGCTCGGCAACCGCGGGGACGTCGCTTGACCTCCACATGTGGAGTCATGCCAAGGTGCCCTCGGGGGGAGGGCCCTCCTCGAGCTTGCACGTGAGCATCGTGGATCGTGTCTGGAAGCGAAACTGTAGCTACAGGACGCCTCTGGCGGACTTTGCACTGAGTTACCAGATTGTGTGCTCCCTGCGTACTCACGAGGTAGACTTACGTTTATGGAGTTTTATGGGTGCGTTCCTTATGTCTGAAATGTGGAGATAAACCTGCATGGCTCGCTCGGCTCAGCCTCACGTCCTCCAGACGTGGGGAGCTACAGCGCCCATCCAGGGGCAGTGCCAGCCAGGTGCGGAAGAGCCCTGAACTAAGGCCCACGGGACAAAGGCATGCAAAACTGCAGCTGTACGTAAGCTAAGAGGCATATCCTCTAAAGCGCCTCTCGGGTTAAAGGACCCCATCTCCTAAGGATACCCCAATTTGCAACCAAGGTTATAGCGACTGGGAAGAAAAATGAAAAACTGAGGCAGAAATAATGCGGGGCAGTGGTCACCAAGATCCTGAGAGGGCCTCCCAGAGAGTCGGAGCTCCAAATGAAAGATTCAGGTCTCCCACATTAGCAGACTGTCTCTTAACACTACTTCAGCTCCCAGCCTCTCCCAGGGGCACAGGGTTGGGGATGGCTGGTCTAAGACGTACCTGTGCTCTAAATCCAATTCTGTTCCACCTTGAAGGGCAGTATGCCCAAGCCACATATTAAGGACTAGAAGCACTACCATATGCAGGTCTTCTCCCACTGAGCTTGCTTGCTTATTTATTTAAAACTTCTATACTGTTCCATCATAGACATCTCAGGACAGTTTACTAAAGAGTTCTTTGGCACTAACTCCTAGATAAGTGGGTATAGGCCTAATGGTGTTTTAGTGTTAATTTTGAAAACATTCTTAGCACCTCATCCTTGGCATATTCACTCAGAACTAAGTTGAGTCATAACTTTTAGGAAGTTCAAGTCATTTATGAGTATATATGCCTGCTGTGATCTATAATCACATCTTTTTAAAGAAGGAAAATATGCTTTGTCCCTTCAAAATTATGATTTAGGCATAAGCAAACATTTGGAAGGCTGTGTGAGACAACCCACCAAGTCAGATCTCTGGAGCTCAAGTGAGATTTAATTCCATGACAGTATGACGTTCAGCACTTGCAGTCCCGTGGACACCTATCTGAGCACTGGTGGGGCCTTAACTCCCGGACAGACAAGTGCAGGATGAAACTGTACGCATTGCTAGTTCCATCCGGAGCCAAATAACTTGAACGACAGATTATTGGTATGTGCTCTCTGGGCAGATACTCTTGGGCTTTGTTTGGAAGCTGCAGCTGGTGCAGAATGTAGCAGGGAAGCCTTTTTCCAGCAACATGTTACACCTCTGCTGAAAGGCCTGCATTGCCTGGCCAACATTCAGGTTCTGCTGTTCACCAATAAAGCTCTGAGACCAGGCTATTTTAGGTGGCCTCACCCCGCATATCCCCACCTGTCTGGCCCTCAGCAGGAGCACCACTGACACCCCTGAGCTCAGCCTGCAGAGGATCCCTCACGCAGTTCAGGAGCACCCAAGAATGGCTTTCTGCTTGCTCTGAGATGTGTCAGTTTTGGTCTCCAGAGAGCTGCTGAAGAACCCCACCTCTTTGGCCAGACCTTCCCAGAGCTGTGACCCAGCCAACAGGGTGACAGACAATTATTCTCCTTTTTATGGTTAAATCATTATTTATTATTCATACAATAGTATAATTGTCTATTTCCTATTATATACTGCTTCCATCTTTGATAGTTCACTGGAAAGTGGTATACAAGGCCTTGTAATCATAAATACACGCAGAACAGATTACAGGACAACAAACAAGGCTGTTGCATTCCTGAAATCACTTGCTCACCTGTTTTGGGTCATGCAGCCTTGAGGTGAGTTAATACTTGGTGTGCATGTGGAATTGTTCTATTTATTTATTGCTGCCACCTCCCTCTATCCACTTTTGAAGCCTACTTGGTCTCTGTGGTATATGGCCATGTCCAAAGTGTCAACTTCTGGCACACTGTGTTCAGCAGGGGAGTTGTAGGACTGCAAGGTGGAAGGCTTGCTGATGCACGGGGCCTTCTTTTTCTATCCAGCCCATGCTGGCTGGGCGGGGGGGGGGGGGGTGTTGGGCAAGGTAGTCTTCATAGGGCCCTTCCCTCAGCGAGCCTGTCCTTTCATTGCCTTTGTCACCCATTGTTTCTGCTTCTGCCATTTTCATCATTGCTTGGCAGAGAGTTCCTGTGCCATCAGGTCATACCTGATGCTCCCCTTCCTTCTCGCCACCAGCAAGGTCACCTTCATGGGACGCAGCCGGCACTCACCTGCAGTCTCATCCTGGCCCCCCAGTAGGTGCGTTGATGTTTGCAGGTATGTGGTTCCTGCTGCCATGGGTCATTTTTTAAGGAATGCATACTCGTGAGATGCTGTCTTCTCGATACTCCTCTTAGATTACACCTCTGAGTAGGAGGAAGTGATACCTTGACTTTTACTACTTCTGAGTAAACGTGCACAGAAATGTGCCATGGAGGTGCAAATGGAGATATCAGAAGTTGAGCAGACTTGCCCTGCTTTATTTGTGAAATGTTGGGGGGGGGGTCTCTTGCAAGGACTGGGGAGCCTGCAGGCTGAATTCAGTTTTGGGAGGTTCTTGGGGTCCCCTTTCCAGTGGTGAGCAGGGCTGCAGCAGGTGGGGCAAACCTCCCAAAAAACCATCCAGCATAATTTATTTATTTATTTTACTTAGAAAATTTGTAGGCCGTCCATCATTGTTGTCTCTGGACGGCTTACGACATTATTTCAATCCTCAAACACTGGGCATAAAACTAATCTATTTAAAATAAATTAAACAAATCTAACACAATTAAAATATTGGTCAAATAAAAAGGTCTTGACCTGGTGCAAAAAGCATATAATGCTATATTTAGCAGGCTGTATGTGCTATATTGCTATAATACTGTATCTAGCATGCATAGATATATATATGCATTATTATATGCATAGATATAATGCATATAATAATGCTGCTTGGAGTAACTAATTAAGCCTTAGTTACTTAATTCCAGTGAAATTTCACTCCAGCGAAATTCTCCAGAACTCTAGAACAAAAACAGAATTGCTTAAAAGCTGGGAATAGCCACATGATTGGCTGTTGGGGGAAAGGGGTGGGCCCAGGAGAAAGGGAACCCTTGACCCTGTTTTACAGTTTGCATTTGGCAAACTGCTTCTTTGGGCAGGTATTTCTAAATACCTCAATCAAAATGGTTTTATCTGATTCTTCTGATTTATTTATTTATTTAAAACATTTTTATGCTGCCCCCATCGCAACAAAGCCTTGGGGCGGCTTACAACAAAAACAAAGTTATACAAAAACAAAGTTATACCATAAAAATATTAAAACCCGGTGCATCTCGGCTTAAAAATTTTAAAATCCTACACAACAAATTAACACTTAAAATAAGTTTTAAATAAAAAGGTCTTAGCCTGGCGCCAAAAAACAAATAACGACAGTGCCAGGCAGACCTCTCTGGGGAGCGCATTCCATAGGTGGGGCACCACCGCAGAGAAGGCCCTCCTCCGGGTACTCACCCTCCTAATAGCATTCACAGAGGGTTCCCAGAGAAGGTCATCTGTTGCTGATCTCACTATGCACTAGGTTTATCTTGTGCCACTGCCTTTTTATTATATTGATTTGGATGGGGATATAGTATTTTAGGGTTGCTTTTATTTATTTTTATTATACCCCTTCCTACCCCACCTTATTTCATCTTGCAAGGAACATAAAGAGCCTAACATGATCCCCCTCCTTGCAGCATTTTGTATGTATAAATAGAAGTACATGTGTATGCACCTGCTTCCCCCCATTCCTGAATGAGATTTTATCAGTAAAATAAATTCTAAAATTATTGGCTTGATTGTTCAGAAGGGGGATGTCTATGGTTTATGATGAGGATAATAGTTTGATATTAAGCAGAGTTTTTATGGAGTGATATAATCTCTAGGGCTGGAATAAAATTTTATATAGGAATATCATCTTTCCACTCTAAATGAATCTCTCTTTCTTGTGAGAGTTGCTGGCTAACTGCCAGGTTTCTCAAAACATGTTCCTTGTTAGGACTTCCTTTCTACTCCAACCATGACTGTCAATCCCATACAGCCTGGGGATAATGGAAGTTGTAATCCAATGCATATAGGGAATACCAGGTTAGAGAAGCCTGGTCTACTAGATCACAAGAGTATATTTGCCTTACAAGCTTAACTCTTGCGGCTTCCCGCAGAGAATCATGGAGACCATTCTTTGGTGAGGATACCAAGAATATTGTGTTACACATCTTTAACCTA